AAAATGGCTAAGGTTGATAATTTCTACACTTAAATCCTACTTTTGGTTAACTAACGCTCGTCCTGTACGGTCTTATACCGTTCGGTTTTCCTTATGATACTTTAAATGGATTCTTTCATTGGAAAGAATTCGCTCGAGAACGAGCGTTCCTTTGAGTAAAATAGTGTTCGCCTCATGTCGAGCATCAGTCTTTAATAGCGTTCGACTCATGTTGAGTCGTCAGTCTTAATAGTGTTCGACCTCATGTCGAGCATCAGTCTTCAATAGCGTTCGACTCAGTCGAACGTCAGTCTTTAATAGTGTTCGACCTCATGTCGAGCATCAGTCTTCAATAGCGTTCGACCTCATGTCGAACGTCAGTCTTTAATATGTTCGACCTCATGTCGAGCATCAGTCTTCAATAGCGTTCGACCTCATGTCGAACGTCAGTCTTTAATAGTGTTCGACCTCATGTCGACGCATCAGTCTTTAATAGAGTCGACCTCATGGTCGAGCGTCAGTTTTAATAGTGTTCGACCCATGTCGAGCATCAGTCTTCATAGCGTTCGACCTCATGTCGAACGTCATCTTTAATAGTGTTCGACCTCATGTCGACATCAGTCTTCAATAGCGTCGACCTCAGTCGAACGTCAGTCTTAATAGTGTTCGACCCCTCATGTCGAGCATCAGTCTTTAATAGCGTTCGACCTCATGTCGAGCGTCAGTCTTTTAATAGCGTTCGACCTCATGTCGAGCGTCAGTCTTAAATAGCGTTCGTCCTGATCTCAATTAGCGTTCGTCCATACAGAATTAACGTTCGTCTTTTTATGGAAGGGTAACAAAGAATGAAAATGTGATATTGAGAGAATTATAAAGTGAACGAACCCTATATGAGGTGAAATTATGATATTGCGATATTTGAACGAGCGTTCCAAGGAGGAATACTCTTGGTTGGAAATTGATATTGTAAAGTTGACTGTGGATAGTTTAGACTCGCTGTCCATCCTGATGTTCCGTGGATACGCCTCTTCAAGTAGAAGGGGGTACTCATGTGTGGAACGGCAGGGGGTCCTTAGTCCATAATTAACATGGGCGAGTAGAACGACTTACCTCGAGTGGCAGCTGTTTAATGTTACCCAGTTACTACATCACTCGGTGCAAGGACGCTTGAAAACTAAACAGATTCATACAGTCCGGACGGTCTGTCTAGAATATTATATTTTGTTTTGGTTGAAGTTATATGCATAGTATTGATTGTGTGATGATTTGAATATAATGTTGAAGTAGAATTTAAAATACGTAAGCTTACCCTTGCCATTTCCATTGTGTTGTCTACTGTCATGTATACTCCGTCTTGTCAAAATGAATGATCATCCGTTGTGATGTGAGCAGATGGTGGAGCGCTCCTTGAAACACTGCTGGGAAGAAGAAAATTTGGAGGGACAAGACCCCTGGTGGATGTTGAAGTCAAAGCCGAGCCCTAGAGCGCTCGCCAGTATAGTATAGTTTATTATGTGTTTTATGTAACGTTCGGTTTGTAATCCTGTAAAAACGTTCGTCCTTAAACTCTTTATATTATGACGTCCGTCATTTCTGTATGTTTTTTGTACGTTCGACACCGTTAGTGCTCGTTCGGTCTGTAAGACTGCCTGTTTATTATCTTAATGTAATTAATCTTGATTATGGTAATTACATATTTTGGGATGTTACATTAGTGGTATCAGAGCAGTTTTGTCTTAAGGACGCTGTGTATGAGCGCATTACGTTTTACTGTGTGCTTATCGTGTGTTAATAAGTTAATGTTTTAACTGTTAGACCACTCTAAACGTTCGTTTCTTCTGGTACAGAAAACGATGGCCCCTAGACTCCCTCCTCCACCCAACCTAACGAACCTGATGCGTCCAACCACGCCAGTTGTTGGAGACAGGATAACCGTTTACAACAGCAGAATACGAACCCTAATGGAACAAAACGCACCCTGATGCCAGCAAAACCAAGCTGCCATGCAAAGTCTGGAAGCTTCCGTGCTAGCTCGGAAACAACCCAGCGACAGCTGATGGAGATTTTAGCATCAACCAGGCACACTGCGGGAGGCGTCTTCTTCCAACGCTGCCCCGCCTACTGCTGAGTGGACCCTGGAGAGTTTCCTCCAAACACCACCCGGATAAATTCAGTGGGAAATGCCTTCCTGATGAGGCAGACCAGTGGTTGAGAGATATGGAGCGTATTATGATGCTAAGAGGTGTCCGGATGAAGAGCCGCTTGGCTTTTACAGAGTATTTGTTGAATGAGAAGCAAGTCACTGGTGGGACGAGTATGAAGGCCATCTAACGGAACGCTCGGAATCCAGTAACCTGGGCGGTTTCAGAGGCAAGTTTTATGAAGAGTATTTCCCGGACAGCGTACGTTACGCTAAGGAAGTTGAGTTCCTTCATTGGCACAAGGAACAAGTCTGTGTCGGAGTATACCAACACCTTTAAAAACACCTACTGAGGTTCAAACGATGGCTACTAACGAGGAGTGGCAGTGCAGGAAGTTTGAGAATGGGTTGGAGAAGTGATCTGAAAGTCTTGATCTCAACTTGTGTATTCGGTCTTTCTGCCATGTCGAGCGAGCCAAGGTTTTGGAGAAGAATATGGCAGAGGGCAGAACGGTTGAAGAGGCAGCAAACAGTGAGTAGGGGACCAATGGTGTCCAGGGGAGGTGCGTACAGAGGAGACCTCCTTACGCTCGTCAAATCAGTCTTCTCAGACGAGGATCACAAGCAGTAGTCCCTGTCGGACAGTCTGGGCAGGGAGGGTTGTTTGTTTTCGGTGTGGAGGACCACATTATAGGTCTTCATGCCCTCAGTTGGTGGGAGTAAAGCATGCACTCAGTTGTGGAAGAAACGGGCACCTGGATCACGAGTGCAATATGAAGTGGGCGTGCTGTGATGAGGCCACCTAATGCTGGAAGAAATCAGCCAAGAGGAGGACGAGCCAAGAGTGGGCGAGTGTATGCTATAAACGAGCGCTGAAGCAGCGAGTTCAGGTAACCTTATTGTTGGTGAATGCATGCTGTTTGGTAGACCCTGCTGTGCTTTGTTTGATTCGGGGGCAAACGCACATCCTTCATCTCGAAGGGTGTGTTGAAAAGCTGGGATTAGAAGTGAGCGAGATGCAGTTTGATCTGGTGGTGTCGACCCCAGCAGCTGGTGAGGTTAGGACGTCCATATGTGCGTCAAGTGTCCTATAGAAGTGGATGGGTTGTAGGTTTAAAGTTAGCCTCATCTGCTTACTCTTCAAGGTTTGGAGGTTATCTTGGAATGGATTGGTTGGCTGCCAATCGTATGTCTTCTTGATTGTGGAGCGAAAGAGTTGATCTTCCCTGGTTGTAGATGAAGAAGTTCTTTAGTGACGCTCGGTCAGCTGAAAGAAAGACATTATGGAAGGCGCCTG